TCAGGGTTGAGAAACACCGAATTAGACAAGTGATTGGAAACCTGAAGAAACTTGGAGGCAATTTTGAAGGAGGGCCCGATTCCCCACCCTGACCGCTACGTTAAGGAAGGAGGGACCGGAGTCCCCGCAAAAGACAAACCACAGGTCTTCTCCTTCTTCAGGATGTGGAAGACATGGGCCGGGGAGCCAGAGAGCCTCTTGCTTTGAGAAAAACGCCTGGTACCTTATACACCTTCCCAGCCACGGTCCTTGGCCACTCTTTGCCCTCTGATTTCTCTGCTCCTCGGGCCACCATCTCCTCCGCTTTCTTGAAGGACCATTCTTGAGCTTTGGGCTTCAGGACATGCCCCGATGCGCCTTCCCCATGCCTCCTTACTCCACAACGTTCTTCGGACAGCTCAGGCAGCTGGACCAGAAAAGGCGTAAAGAGGCCCGACTCCGAACTGCTGCTGGTGTCGTCGGGGATCCTGACAGGTTTGGCGCTTGCCTGGAGCTGGTTGGGAAGGATGGAGGTGGCATCTCCTTTGGCTTCGAACGGGCCAACTCTTTGCCTCTTGGGCAAAGACGTTTTCCCCTCGTTCTTCTCCAGCAATGATTCTGACGACATAGACTTGGTGCTGGGCGCTCTGTTGGTTGGAGAAGAGCCCTGGGACTTCCAACCCAGGGACATGAGGTTTGACGGACTCATGATCTGTTGGGTGACTTCGTTGAGGAACTCCGAAAAGCGCAGCTTGTCTTCTATCCGCCTGTTTTCTCCTAGGATGAGGGACTTCTTGGGGAGGCTCAGATCCAGGCTCTTGGGAGAGGAGGGCTTCTCCTGCTGGTGGTGGTGGCATCTCCTGGGCTTTGGAGCCATGAGAGGCTTCGGTCCTGTGGGCCGTTCCATAACAGCCTCGCTGGACCTGGTCTTCCACAACCGGCCGTCCTCTTCCACCACCCCGTTTCTCAAAACAACCCGGCCAAGAGGAGGACGGACAGCCTTGGAGGGCTGCTGCAGAGCTGGGATCTCAGGCTCTTCCCTGAAGGCTGGACCATACTGCTGCAGGCCAGTGGCCTTGTAGAAGTTCTCCTCCAGGCCTTCGGCTTGTGCCACCTGCGGCCGGAGCTCCGGGTGGCCCTGGCCAAGAGGCAAACCGCCCGCCCCTCTGACGAAGGGCGTGAAGGACCCACCCAGCCTTCTTGTCTCCTGCATGGGGGGCTGGGAGGCCATGCCTTCCACAGCGCCCTCCCTACAAGATCCGGATGGAGAAGAACGGTACTGAGAAGGCGCCATGGGCAGAGCCTCCTTTTCTAGCTGGGCTTCCAAAGACCACAGGGCTGAAGAGGTGGATGTGAACGAGCTGGAGGAGCGAGTGGAGACGCGGTCGTCCGGGGTCTCCCTCTGCAGGGGCAAATACACCCGCTCCTTCCGCCGCTTGGCCTGCTGCACCGGGGTGAAGAACTTCTCGAGGACTTGGAACTTTCCAGCCAGGACGCCGCTGCCATCGTTCTCCTCCGTCCAGTGGGTTGGGTGGAATGCCGCCGCCTGCTCTTTCTTCTCCAGCTTTTGCCGGGTGGTTGAGGCACTCATCTTGAATAGCGGATGCCCGTCTGCTCCTAACCGCATCTTCCCTGGTCATTTTAGCCGGGGCCGGCCAAGTTAGTGGAGCGGAAAGGGGACCTGTCAATACAATCAGCTTGGGACGTTTGATTGAGCTAATAGAGGCCAGCAAGTTTGACCGCAGCATCCGTTGCGCCTCGATCCTCCCCACCAAACCGGGTTTTGTAAGCAAATTCCTCCTTTGCCAACATCCAGGTGAAGATCTGAGTTTAATGCAATAAGGGACTTTAATGCAATAAGGGACTCTAATACCCTTTTAGTATTAAATTGACAACGGGCCACAGAGTTTATAGATTGTAATTTTAGTGTACTAAATCAGATCGTAATTTTAGTATACTTAGACCATGTACAATGGACAGGCTGGATTTTATCACAGACTAGCTCGATACCCATGCTTCACTACGAAACTATATGATCAGCCTTAGTTTGGGGGGAGGAAAATAAGGGGGAAAAATTCTGCCTCTGCCTACCAGCATCCATTGGTATTCATCTGGCTAGTGTCCTGTCAGTGTGTGAGTTGAGGGCTGTTTGGAAACTGAAACAGCATTTGCTGTATGAGCAAGGAGACAGCAAGGAGCCTGGGCATGGCTTAGCTCAATGGTTCTGCACTAAAGCTGGTTGCGGCTGTGAAACTGAAATGGAAACTCCTCTACTTGAGAAGCGAAATGTCTTCAAAGAAAACCCAAGGACGGCCAGGGGCCTCCTGAAAAAGCACCTTTGGGTTAAACGTTTTCAAAGAAAAAGAACCGTTGCCTTTTGAAAAGCTCCTTTCGGACAGCCACAACCTGGATGATTGAAAATCTCCACAGACATGGGTAAACTGTGGTTTATCCTTCGGTGGATGGCGTAACCCCAGGCCATTGTTGCTTCGTTCACGAACCAGGGTTTAGCAATCCAGTTAAGTAGACTGAATTCATGTTTTCTTTAAACCCTTGCCGAGCTGAACAATCACACCAATAAATTGCGTAAAGATCCTTTAATGGTTTAACAGCAGCAGCCTGGTAATCTGGGCTTCGATCATAAAACTGAGCAAATTCCACCCTGAGATTTGATAACAAAAGATGATGAGGGATTAGATAAAAGCAGGGATTCCTAACCGTGAGCACATGAAAATGGGTGTGGACTTCAACTCCCAGAGTTCCCTGGGCTTCCAACATTCCTCATGCTAGATGGGGAATTCTGGGAGTTGAAGTCCACACGTTTCAAAATTATTCAGGTTGAGAAACACTGCTCTATTATCTAAAATCTCTCTCATCCGTCTCTCCATCCCCTTTTGTAATTCATGTTTGACTCAGAATAAAGCTGGAAGGGACCTCGGAGGTCTTCTAGTCCAGCCCCCTGCTCAAGCAGGAGATCCTATCCCATTTCAGATAGGTGACTCTTGTGAAAAATCTCCAGTGATGGAAGTCTTTGGCTTGCAATTCAGTGGGTGGATTACATAAACACATTTCCCCGGGAGCATTTTTGCTCGTGTTTCAAAGCAAACTGTTTTAACAGTAACAATTGTATATTGACCCACTGTGCTGCGCGGAGGAAAAATCAATCCTGTGATTATTTTTAAACCAAGGTTCCCGGCGTACGAAAGCAAATCTGGTGCAGCCTTCCGTAAACTCAGCTGGGTCTCACGCCGGTCTCCCTTCTTCCCCAAGTGGCCAAGAGAACTCTAAATCCCTGCCCAGGATCAACAGCCTGGGCTTTGACATTGTCAGACTTTACAGATTAGCAGAGTTGGAAGAGACCTTGTAGGTCATCTAGTCCAACCCCCTCCCTCCTGCCCCAGCAGGAGACCCTACACCATTCCTGACAAAGGGCAGTCAGGTCTCTTCTTGAAAGCCTCCAGTGATGATGAAGCTCCCACAACTTCTGAAGGCAACTTCTGTTCCATGGGTTGATTGTCCTCACTGTCAGAAAATTCCTCCCTATGTCCAGGTTGAATCTCTCCTTGGTCAGTTTCCATCCATTCTTCCTTGTCTGGCCTTCGGGTGCCTTGGAGAATAGCTTGACCCCCTTCCTCCTCCTCTCTGGGGCAGCCCCTGGGATATTGCAAGGCTGCTCTCCTGCCTCCCCTGGTCCTTCTCTTCCCTAGACTAGCCAAGCCCAGTTCCTGCAACCTTTCATCGTATGTTTCAGCCTCCGGTCCCCATAATCATCCCAATTGCTCTTCTCTGCCCTCTTTCCAAAGTCTCAACAGTCAGAAACGAAGGTTTGTAAGGTTACCTGAATAAGGTTATTCGTGGCTTGAAGAGGCAACCATTGGAGTGGAATTTAGAGGGAGAAAGCAAATCTAGCAGCAATCGTACAGGTAGTCCTCAACTTAATAACGTACATTTAGTGACCGTTCAAAGTTACAACGGCACTGAAAAAAATGACGAGCATTTTTCACAATTACCTTTGCAGCATCCCCCATGTTCACGGGACTAAACTTCAGGTGTTTGGCCACCGGTTCATACTTATGGCAGTTGCAGTGTCCCGGGGGTGTGTGTGTGTCAGGTTTTGTGACTTCCTGACAAAGTCAACGGGGGAGCCAGGATTCACTTAACAGCCGGGTTGCTAACTTTATCAATTGCCGTGATTTGCTTAACCACCGTGGCAAGCAGCGTCATAAAATGGGGGGCAAAACTCACTAATAAATTCTGACTGAACGTCAATGTTGGGCTCGGTTGTGATTGTTAAGTCCAGGACTACTTGGATTTGTTTCGGATCTTTCACACATCACTATAATTCCCAAACCTGTAAAATAATCCCAGCATTCCCTCAAGTTGTTTCACCCTAGATCGTTTTCTTAAAAATCCACGTGAATGCCGTTTCCCCCCAAAATGGACCTACCCTGAAAGTAAGTCCTGGCTCCATTTTTTCCACATGCGCCCAATATAAGCCCTATACCCCTGCAAAATAAGCCCTAATAACCCCCCACACACACTCCAGAGTGCATGGGTCAAAATTACGCTAGGGTGGGGATGGGGGGTGTGTGGAGCTGCCCTCCTACTTACCTTTGGACAGGTGTAGCCAGGACTCGCACCCCCTGACACCTGCCTTGCCGGCCCACTTTTTCTGCAGCCTGCAAGGCTGGCCAGACTTTCCTGGAGGCCTCTGTTTCCGATAACAAAGCTCAGGACTGATCCAGCAGCGCTCCATTATCGGCTGCAGAGGCCTTCAGGAAACCTCGCCGGCTGCAGAAGAAGTTGTTCCTGAAGGCCCCTGACGGCGAAAAGGAAGGCGGGGGCGACGCGTGCAAGTGAGGTTAGTCAGTGGAGGACATCCCCTGAAAATAAGACCTGGTGCCTTTTTGGGTGACATAAAAATTATAAGACAGGGTCTTATTTTGGGGTGAAACACAGTAGTTGAAAGACAACAGGAAACCTGAAGGAAACTCTTTTTAATTTTCTCACAATTATTCTAACGGGGCTGCACTGCGAAACATCACCAGCGGGACAAGAGACAAACCGAACATCAAAAGCTTCATCAACTGGGAGGAGTCCTTTAAGAGAGACGGCCAGAGAGAGGCTTAAAAAACAGGCTGTTCCTTAAAACAGGCCTGCTCCCCATTAACCTGCCCCCCCCACACACACACACAAAAGGAAGCTGGCTGAGCAAACCTAGTTCCCACTCCATTGAAGCAGACGTGATTTTTCAGAAGGCAAACGCAGAAGAAAATTAATAATAATAAAATATTAAACTACTGGGAGAAACTCGTGGCTCTTTCAAAGACTAGAATGCACCTGAGCATCTTGCCTATTTTCTGCCTGTTCTGGGAATAGGGAGGGAAAAAGAAATCAGTTAGCCGAGCCATATTACAAAAATTGTGATACCGCATAGAATTCAGACCCTTCTGCACGTATTTTCAGGTTGCGGACGAGAAAAAAATATTTCCTGGTAACCCCACAGAACACAATATCTTTTGTTTTTAAGGGGGAGCATCAAGAGAAGCGTCGGCTGCCTTTTGTCGGCAAGTAAGCCTGTAAAATGGGCGGGGGGGGGGGGATCTACAGTTTTATGCCAAGAAAGTTTAAGCGTCCTCCTAGGGGGGGATTATGTACAAGGAACATTCTGGCCACCAACAATATGCGGAGCAGATGCATTTCTTCACTCCACAAGGAGGTCAAATTTCTCAGCTTCCTCAAACTCGGCGTTCATCTGTGCGGCCCACTCGTCCATCTTTGATTCCTATAAAGGCAACAATAAAAACAACTTTTTATTTTGATAAAAAGATGCCCCTGCTTTGACAATCAACCCACGTGACGAGATAGGAAGAGTCTGCTAAGGTTTTTGCTCCAAGGCACTCAGAATAGCAATAGCCCTTAGACTTCTATCCCGCTTTATAGCGCTTTCCAGTCCCCTCTAAGCGGTTTAGGGAGTCAGCCTCTGTCCCCACAACCATCTGGGTCCTCATTTTACCCACCTCGGAAGGACGGAAGGCTGAGTCAACCTGGAGCCCGGGGAGATTCCAACTGCCAAATTGCAGGCAGCCGCTGCGCCACCGGAGCTCTTACCATCTTACCAGAATCCTGCAATACCTCTTGATTAAATTCTGGCACCGATCTTTAAACGGGTAGTCCTCAACTTACAGCCACAGCTGACCCCAAAATGTCCGTTGCTGCGCAAGAGTTTGTGAGGTGAGTTGTGCTCCATTTTATGACTTGGCTTGCCACCGTTGTTAAAAGAGAATCACGGCAGTTGCTGAGTTAGTAACCTGGTGGTTAAGTGAATTTGGCCTCCCCATTCTGACTCTGCATGTCGGAAGGTCGCAAAAGGGGATCACATGACCCCGGGGACACTGCGACCGTCGTAAGTATGAACCAGTGGCCAAGCGGCTGAATTTTGATCACATGGCCGAAGGAGTGCTTCAACGGTCGTAAGCCTTCAGTGACTTTGTTTTTCAGTGCCGTTATAACTCTGGTCACTAAATGAACTGTTGTAAGTCGAGGACTACCTTTACTAGTGTAGGTGAAATGTTTATATATATATATTTATAGCATATATATATGCTAGTCCAGAGCAAAATCAAGGAGAGAAGCAACCTGGAACTAAGCAGAAATTTCCTGACCATCCAAACCATTAACCTGTGGAATGACCGGTCGCCAGGAGTTGTGGGTTGCTCCAGTACTGGAGGTTTTTAAAGAAGAGCCTAGACAATCACTTGTCTGAAATGGTACAGGGTCTCCTGCTTGAGCAGGGGGCTGGACTAGATGACCTCCGAGGCTCCTCCCAATCCCATGATTCTGTATTTTCAACAATGTCTCTCTCACATGTGGGTGCTCCATCATGGGAGTTTTTAAGAAGAGACTGGACAACAATTTGTCTGGGATGGTAGAGGGTTGGACTAGAAGGCCTCTAAGGTCCCTTCCAACTGTGTTATTCCGGGTAAGTCATGCCATGTACTAAATAAAAATAAATAAGCCCTGATGCCACCCTCTACTTTTCGGAGTGGAATCTCTTGGTCTTCTACGCAGGGATGGGATTCAATTTATTTTTTTACTGCCGGTTCTGTGGGTGTGGCCTGGCTTAGTGGGCGTGGCAGGGGAAGGATATACCGTAAAATCCCCCTTCCCTCCCCACCCCACTAGCCTGCTTTCCAGCTCCGTTCTCCTGGGCAGGGCAACCAAAGGAGACCCAGCTGATCAGCTGGGACTCCATGGGAGGCAGAGAAGGGATGGGTTTGGCGGAGCCAGTCGGAGGCGGGATTGGCTGGTTCTTCGAACTACTCAACATTGCCGCTACCGGTTCCCCAGAATCGGTGGAACACCACCCTCTTATACCGCACAAACAACCCGCCATGCCTGGAGAGAGCGGTACTGGCAGATCCGTGTTCCTGCCATTTTTCAATGGAAGAAGAAGCGGGGAGAGGTTGGTACAACTAAACCTTTTTGATGTAACCTGAATATCTTAAGTCTTGTATTGAATCTGTATAACTTGCACACGATATACAACTGGGGGACTGGAGCCCAGAAGCCTGGAAACTTGTCACCTCTTGGAGAGAGAGCAAGCGGAGAAGGGGCCATCAAAATTCCAGCTCGTCCTGAGCAGCTTCTTCTCAACTATGGCCCCAGAAAAAAGCGGGTGGGGGGATTAACAGGCTGCTTCTTTGTACTGACGAAATCCACACCGGACAAGTGTGTGTGTGTGTGTTTGTGTGTGTTTGTGTGTGTGTGTTTCTAACTCCCTTTCGCTAAGCTGCATGCCTGGAGGCATATTAGACCCCGTGTCAACTAAAGAGAGACTCCTTTGGTCTTTTTAGCTGCCAAAAAAAAAAAAAACGGAGCGGGGGGGGGAAAACAAGGCATTCTTGAAATGCCTAGATATCAACTCGGCAGCCCAAAGTTGTTGGAGCATAAGGAGGCTGTTGGAGAGCATGACGGAGGACCCTTGGAGAGTGAGGCGCCCTATGGGAGGCGGGAGGGAGGCCAGGGTCAAGGGGTCAAGGTGTGGTGTGATTCAGTAACCGGCTGCACCCAGCCACGCGCCAGCGGGGCAATTCCTAATAAGCCAATGTACTTTTTCTGAGATGTGGCTAGAGACTGTTGCCTTGAATGAGGGGGATTTGTTGGAGCCCTGACACCTGGCTTTGAACGTCACCTGGATCTTTTCCCTTGAAACACCCCGTTGTCAAAAGTCCATTCTCATCGTTTGAAGGGGAGAGAGCCTGGCCCTTACAGGTACTTGACTCTCTTAGTGCATTAAATGCACAAATCAGATCAAGGGAACGGAGCAGCCCATCATTTCGACACCAACTTTACAGCCACAGCGCTCAGAGCGCTACTCACATCAAACTCGGGCACCTTCTTCTTCCTTCGCTTCTCCCTGCCGAACGAGATGCCGGGGATGTCGGTGTCCGGCTTCCCGAAGGCCCCGCTTTCTGCAGCCGCTGCCTTGGGGGCGCTGGCGATATGCTCCGCGGAGGGCTCGGCCAGCTCCCCCGGAAGCAGCAGCTTCTCAAAACCGAAGAGGGTTTGCCGTTTGCTGGGAGCACCGGCGGGTGTGGAGGTGCCGGCGAGGCTGAAGCTGGGAAACTCCGGCTTGTCCGTGAAGCTGCGGGACAAGGAGAGGTCCAGGCGGCTGTAAGACCGGCGCACACGCTTGGCCATGGCCAGGTCTCGTTCGCATCCCAGCGGAGATTCTGGCGTGTTGGCGCTGACCGGGGACAGGACATTATTAGTCTCTTTCGGTGAGTTCTCTGCATCGAGATTCAAGGGGCAGCGCGGGGTAAAAGACGGGCTTTTCTTCGGGGCCTCCCCTCCGTGGGGGCTTTGATTTTCAGGGCCCCCCGGGGGGCTGTTCTCCTTGTTTTCTTTTAAGGAGATCTGCAAAACAGGGATACAGTCTGTGTTACTTACTATAAAGTGGGAAGCAGGAGAAGGGGAGAGCCTCTGAAAGTTGAGCCATTGCAGCTGGAGTAATTTTTCTTGTTGGTTATGAGATGTTTCGCTGCTCACCCATCCTTCATCAGTCAAAACAAACCAACTGGAGGCTAAAACACGTGAAGAACGGTTGCAGGAACTGGTTGAGCCTAGTCTGATGAAAAGAAGGACTAGGGGTGACATGACAGCAGTCTTCCAATATCTCAGGGGCTGCCCCAAAGAAGAGGAAGGGGTCAAGCGATTCTCCAAAGCACCAGAAGGCAGGACAAGAAGCGACGGGTGGAAACTAACCAAAGAGAGACGCAACCTGGCATTAATTATACATTTCCTGACAGAACAATTAATCAGTGGAAACACCCGCCTCCAGAAGTTGTGAATGCTCCAACTCTGGAAGTTTTTAAGAAGAGATTGGACAACCATTTCTCTGCTATAGCATAGGGTCTCCTGCCTAAGCAGGGGGTTGGACTAGAAGACCTCCAAGGGCCCTTCCAACTCTGTTATTCTGTTCTAATTAAGCAGATACGGGGATAAGCAGCGAAATGTCTCAAGTTAACAACAAAAATTAGTCCGGCTACAATATCTCCTCCTTCAAACAAGATGGCTGAGAATCTTCATCGACATATTACACGGAGAGAGGTTGTGAGGTGATTTCCCAATGTTTCAACAGGACCTAACCTGATCCCCGCTTTTTGACTGGCCGTGCATCAGTCTGCATATCGCCAAGCCCTCTGGAAACGCTTCTGGGATGTCAAAGATAAGTAAGATTTTAAAAAATTGTCTATGGACATTCTGTGTCATCCAAGTCGTGGTTGTCCCAAAGGTGCCTTTTTTTTGTTTGTTTTTTTCCAAGAGTCAACTGGACTTTCTGGTTTTTTTTTTGAAGACATTTCACTTCTCATCCCAGAAGCTTCTTCAGCTCTGACAGGAGCGTGGGGAAGGGAAGGATTGGTATATTCCTTGCAGACAGCTGGTCATTTGCATCCTTTTAGAGGGTCACTGAGGCCACTGGGAGGCCTATCCGGGTCACCCCCAGGGCCACCTGAGTAATTTCAGCCGTTCCAAGAAGGCTCCACTCAGGTGGCCCCGTGAACACAGACAACCCCCCAGGTGGCCTCAGCAACCCTCTAAAGGGATGCAAATGACCAGCTGTCTGCAAGGAATATACCAATCCTTCCCTTCCCCACGCTCCTGTCAGAGCTGAAGAAGCTTCTTGAAAACGGTCGTAAGTCACTTTTTTCAGGGATCTTAATTGGAACTGTCATTAAATGAACTGTGGTAAGTCAAGGACTACCTTTAATCGTATTTCCCATTATGAGAAAGATACTTCCTCATCACCTTCCTTCTCCCCCCCCCCACCTCAAAAGAGAGGGTCTCCAACCACTTGGCCTGCTAGCAGTGATATTTAGCGCAATTTATACTGATTTCTTTTACTGTCTGCAAAGTGGACTTCTCTCCAAAGACGGAGAAGGCCGATACCTGACATTTTAATTTACTAAAAGTGTTTTTCGGCCGTCTGTATGAATTTCAGAGGCATTCTGGAAGTAAGACAGGACTTCATTTCCTATCTATCTATATATGAAAGCAAAAGACCACGCAGGCATCATCACAAAATATCCAGAACCGTAAAGCCTACAAACTTGAAATTTGGCAGCTATGTTCCTCTTGGCTTCTAGGGGCTCACTGAGAAAGGATTCTTCGAAATGACCATCACAACATTAGTATTTCCTATATTATTACTATTATTACTATTATTACTATTATTATTATTATTATTACTGTTATTATTAATGTGCTCTAATGCTAAGGAATTCTACTCACCCTCCCCACCTGAAAAGAAATCTGTTCCAAAGGCAAAACAAGCAGGGGAGTTTCAGCTTCAGAGCACCAAAGAGCTTTAGTACAGAACAGTTGAGTTAAGCCGCGCCCAGGCTCCTTGCTGTCTCCTTGCTCACAGCAAATACTGTTTCAGTTTCCAAACGGCCCTCAACTTTCTCACACACTGACAGACGCTAGCCAGATGAATACCAACGGATGCTGGCAGGCCGAAGATTTTCCTCCCCTTATTTTCCTCCCCCCAAACTAAGCCGGACCACATAGTTTCGTAGCAAAGCACGGATATCCAGCTGATTTATTAATACACATTAAAACTTGACGAGGCAGATAATCTCACGGAGATTAATATGAAGGCACTCCAGGACCTTCTCTGTTGGAGAACTCAGGCCAAAGGGAAAATCAAACACGCGAATCCCTCCCAGAACCATTCATTCTATGCTCTCTCATTAACCTCCCCTGACCTGGAAGATTAGGGGTTTCCAGTCCCCGAGCCCTGGGTTGGACCTTGGTCTGTTACGAACTAGGCTATTCAGCTGGAGGTGAACGGAGCTTTATCTATACTTGCAGCTGCTCCCCAGAGTTAGCATCATCACCTCAGCTCCACCTCAGAGCATCAGGCATTAAGAGTCTCACAGAAGCACAAGCCCTACTCTAAGTTGTGCACGTGGGGGACCTAATTTGTGTGCTGCTCCTTTCCTTCCCCCACCCCAGTCCGTGGAGAAATTATCTTCCAGGAAACCAGCCCCTGGTGCCAAATTGGGGGGCGGGGGGGGGGCGCTGCTCTCAATGTGTGCGACTTCAATTCCCAGAATTCTCCAGCCCCCTTGGGGAAGACCAAGCTATTTAAAAGTTCCAGACCTTGCTGAAAGACGTTCTTTTAATTCTCAAAAATTGCTATGGTCTGTGCTTACCCTTGGACTCCGACGAGGAATTAAATCGCTTTCTTTCACCTGATCCTGGGAATAATGGAGAACAAAAAGAAAAGAAAAGAAAAAAAAATATGTAGTTAATTTGGCATAAGACCATCCTTTAATTTTATTTTATTCATAATTGTATTCATTACTTGTGTTCTGTAGGTTTTTAAAAATGGTTCATTGCTCTGGTGTTTTATACTTCGATACACATTTTATATGTTGATTTGGTGAGTTTTTATGCATTATTGCTGGATTCTGTTACACCGTATGAAGTAATAATAATACCACAGAAAGACAAGTCAATTCTCACAGTAATAGAACTGGCAGAGGTAGCAAAAGCATCTTAATTAAGGAAAATAATATATCCAGTTTTGTTTCTGTTTGGAGATTGCTTTTAGATTTTTACTTGAAACAGCTTAAAATGAAACATTGACTTTGGATGTTGATGATTTAGTTTGTTGCTGTTGAAATGGCTACTAGTTACTAATTATATAAAAGTAAAAAGTATAATTTACTTCATTATACTTTACTAATTTAATTACCGCACCGAAAAAAGTTGGAGGTCGTTGCCTTTTTTCTCCTCCCTTTTCTTTTTCCTTCACGTCTTCGTTCCCCTTCTGTTTCTCTCTCAACCTTTTCCTATTGTCTTTTCACTCGTATCTTTTATTCAAATAAACTTCAATAAAATTATTTTTTTTTAAATCACCCCAAAGTGGAACATGTATAAACAGTTTCATAACAACTACTCACCTGCTGATTCCGCGGCTTAATCTTTCTCAGGGTTATCGTGCGCATGACAGAGGCACCTGGGCGCTGCAAAGACGACGGGGGAAAAAAATATTCAGCCGGCGGGAAAGAAAAAAGCAGCCGAGAAAGAATTTTTCTGTTGGAAGACGCAGAATCTGAGATTTGTGTCTCTAAAATACATCGCGTGCTTTGAGAGAACTTGAACAATCACCACTCCTACTCCAAATGCAGGCAATCCTAGACTTACAACTGAGCCCAACATTTCTGTTGCTAAGTGAGACAGTTGTTAAGTGAGGTTTGCCCCATACGAGTCAGTTGCCAAGCCTCTGAATTTTCGGCATGCCCCAATGGTCGTAGTGTGAAAAACGGTCGTAAGTCACTTTTTTCTACTGTCGTCGTAACTTTGACCAGTCCCTAAATGAATGATTGCAAGTCAAGGATTACCTCTATGGCTTACCCAACGCATCGCAACTCAAGCAGAAATTTAAATTCATAAAGAACAAAATATTTATCATAAACTATTTCTATGGTCTCTTTAGAGTTGTCAACAGAAAGGGAGGGGGGGAAAAGGGGTTTGAAAGAGCAGTGCGGCAGTTTGCAAACCGAAAGTGCATTCCATAAATAGTTTTCAAAGATAGTAACTAGGTGACCGAAGTTTCTGCCTTGCAAAATTCTAACTGGAGAGCATGATTGATGACTCTGCGCTATGGAGGTGTCCCACTGGAGAATATGAATTAGGATAACCCAGGCGGGTGGGGGGAAAACCAGGGTCAAGGGTGACAGTGTATAATGTGCCTCAGAGTTGGCTACACGCAGGCAGTGCCAGCGTGTTAACTCCCAATAAAGTTTTGGAAGTTTGGCTCAAGACTCATGATTTAAATGGGGGTAACGGCCGAAATCCTAACAGAAAGAAAACAACAATGCTTTTCTCATACCGGGGTGCCCATCATTTTCCTGGTCACCCCACTGGGGTTATCCTGGGACACTGGACAAGCTGAGGAAGGCAAGTTTCTCTCGGACCTTCGCCTGGGAGGAGAGGAAGCAGCACCTGGGGAAAAGAAAGCATCAAAGAGGTTAATCAAAATGATTAAGAAAAATCACGAAGTCCACATTCTGGGAATGTTGTCATTTTAAAATGTAGTCGTACTATAATCCAGGACATCCTACATAGATAATGTAATTATAATAAGAAAATTACAGACCCCTCACATCCTGGACATAAATTGTTTCAACTCCTTCCCTCAAAACGACGCCATAGAGCACTGCACAGCAGAACAACTAGACACAAAGACGGTTTTTCCCCAAATGCCATCACTCTGCTAAACAAAAAATTCCCTCAGCACTGTCCAACTATTTACAAAGTCTGCACCACTATTCCTATTCATCTTCTCATCGCCTCCCACTTGTGACTGTATGACGGTAACTTTGTCGCTTGTATCCTAACGATTTATATTGACTGTTCCTTGTATGATTTGATTGCTTATTATTTCCTAGTAATGATTTCATTGCTTATTTGTAGTCTTTGACTACTATTGTTATACCTACGATTCTTGACAAATGTATTTTTTCCTTTTATGTACACTAAGAGCATTTGCACCAAAACAAATTCCTTGTGTCTCTAATCACACTTGGCCAATAAAGAATTCTATTCTATTCCATTCCGTTCCGTTCCATTCCTTCCAATGTTTATCTATTCTATTCTATTCTATTCTATTCTATTCTATTCTATTCTATTCTATTCTAATCCTCGACTTACTACCACCGTTGAGTCCAACATTCCTGGTTGCTAAGCGAGGTATTTGTTAAATGACTTTTGCCCCATTCTACGATCTTTCATGCCACCGTTGTGAAGCGAATCACTGCAGTTGTTAAGTCAGGAACAAGGTTGCTAAGGGAATCTGGCTTTCCCGTTGACTAGGTCGCAAAAGTGGATCACATGACCCCAAGACACGGCAAGTTGCCAGCACCCCAAGTCTGATCATGTGACCGTGGGGATGCCGCAACAGTTGGAAGTGCGAAAAAGTAAGTCCTGTTTTAGAGTTGCCATAAACAAGGGGGGGGCGGGGCGGGGAGAGAAAGGAAATCTGGAAAAGCAACGCAGCAGTTTGAAATCGGAAGTACATTCCAACTCTTGTCTTTAAAAAGTGGTAGCCAAACTACCAGGGCTTTTGCCCTGGATGTATTTAATTGGAGAACGTGATTGATGACACCCAGCCTGTGAACGTGCTCAATAGGAGAATCTGGTTTAGGAGACACCCAGGGGGAGAGGGGGGGGGCGGAAACAGGGCCACAGGTGACTGGAGATTCCGTATGCCAGAGTTGGCTTCGTACAGGTCATGCAGTATGTCACCTCTAATAAAATCATGAGTCTTGAGCCAGACTACAAAAAACTTCAAAGGATTTATTAGAGGCGACACACAGTAAATGCAGCCGTTATCTATGGTTAAACAGGGCTGTTAAGTTTTGTAAACCATCCTTTGGAAGAGTCATTTAGAACAATGCCACCCAATTCTTTGGGCACCAGGGACCAGTTCCATGGAAAGAGGTTTTTCTGTGGGCCGGAGGGGGACGTGGTTTCATGTGCCGCCTGCACCCACAGATGTGGCTTTGTTTCTGTGGACCAGTCCTGGTCCTCAGAACCGGGGATGGGGCGAGGGGGGGGACCTCTAATTTAGAAGGGTCCTTTTCTTTCTGCATTCCCAAAATGTATTTATGTGTGTATCATACTTCAAAGGGCTGAGCTGTCAACCCTGGACAAAACATTAAGCCCCCATAAACCATGACCACGCCCGCTAAACCTACCAACTCTCACTTGGCTGGATGCCCAGACCATCTGATTGTATAATAACAGCAAAGATGAGATAAAGTCCTTCTGAAACAGGGCGTTGCCAATTTTGGCAACGTTAAGACTTGTGGTCTTCTACCCTCTCAGAAGGGATGAAAGTTGTGAGAAGTGGCACCTGGGCAGGTCTTGAGGTTCTGGACTGGAGATGATGGGAAACTCTCAGTTCTCTTGAGGAAGAAGAGGCAGGTTTGACAAAAGATAACAATGCTGCCTCCTGATTACCACAAAAGGAAGGAAAACGAAACAACTGCAAATCCTTTTTAGGTGTCTTATATCCAGTATGTGAATGGGAAGGCTGGTCTGGTTTAGGGGTTAAGGAACCAGGCTAGAAACCAGAAGATGGTGAGTTCTAGTGGCACCTTAAGCATGAAACACTGGCGGGCTGACTTTGAGCCAGTCACTCACTCTGAGCCTATGACATTGGACTTGGGTGACAAGCTGGTTGGTCAATTTCTGTGGCAACCAATAGATCAACATACTTAGTTAACACAAAAACAAAATAAGTGCAACTTTTGCAGGAAAATACCGCACGAAGAAAAAGAATAAACAGTACATGAATAATAAGGAACAATATAGGCCAGCACATGAAATGCAAGTGATTCTTTGCCGGCTGAGGAACTCTGGGAGTTGAAGTCCACAAGTCTTAAAGTTCTCAAGGTTGGAGACCCCCGTTCTGGAACATCTTCACTCCTCCAACCTTCCGGAGGTTCCATAAGAGCCTAAAGACGTGACCCTGACAATTGGCTTGGGGCCTGGCCCAATTCTGCTCCCGCCCACCCCATCTTTCATTGAACCGAAGGGTATGGATTTGTATTTATTTGTGTTTTTAGTTTATACAATTTTTATTTTTAGGATTGTGAGCTGCACAGAGTTACCCTGTGGTAAGATGGGCGGCCCATACAGGTAGTCCTCGACTTACAATCACAACGTCTGTTGCTAAGCAAGACGTTTTACAACTCGCCTTGCCACCTTTGTTAAGTGAATCCCTGCAGCTGTTAAATTAGTCACACGGTTGTTAAGTGAAGCTGGCTTCCCCATTGACTTTGCTGGTCAGGTCGCAAAAGGGGATCATGTGACCCCCCCCCTCCGGACGCTATGACCGTCATAAATATGAGCCAGTTGCCAAGTGTCTGCATTTTGATCGCGTGGCGGTGGGGATGGTGCAATGGTTGTAAGTGTGAAAGAACTCATAAGTGGCTTTTTTCAAAGCGCTTGCAACTTCGAACAATCACTAAACAAACTCTTGTAACTCCAGGACTACCTGTAAATAACCAATTCTATCGAAATATCCACATCTGCCAATCCAAGTCCTTGGAAAGGATGCGACAGGTGGATAAAAGTGCCAAATCCAGTCTGAACATCTGGCTCACCCTGTGGCCTAACCATAGTGATAACAAATAAAGGCAGGATATGATGAAAAAGACAGGATGTAATAATAATGAATGGTACGATATAATAAAAATGAATAAAAGCAGCACATAATAATAAAGGTGGAATATAAGAATAAAGACAGGAAATAATAAATAAAAGTGGTAAATAATAGTAGTAGTAATAATAATAATGGCAAAGTATAACAATAAAGGTGGAATATAATCAACAAAGGCAGGATGTAATAAAAATAAAAAGTGAATGATGATAATTTAATGATCATGATAGATAATAAAAATGGCATATTATAATAAAGGTGGAGTATAATAATAAAGGCGGGATATAACAAAAATCAAAAGCAAATAATGATATTAATAATAATTGTGGAAAATAATGAATAAAGACAGGATAAAATAAAAAGCAAATGATATTAATAATATCAATAACAATAGCCATATAAAATAATAAAGGTGCAATATAATAATAAAGGCAGGATATAATAAAAAAGAATATTAATATAATAATGAATAAAGGCATATTAATGGTATTAATGATGATAATATCAATATTAATAGCTGTATATAATAATAAAGGTGGAATGTAATCATAAAGTCAGGATATAATAAAAATAAAAATTCAATAATATTAATAACAATAACAATAATAATATAGGCAGGATATAACAACAGTAAACAAGTAAAGGGGGGATACGAGAAACGAACCCAGCGGTCTAGGCCGGCAGCCACCCCCGCGGGGAACCCCCCCCCTCCTCCTCCTCCGCCTGGCGAAGCGGGGCGACCCAGCAGCGCTTTGGAGGCGAGGCAGGGAAGCCCCCTCCCCCTGTACGGCCTGCTCCGCGGAGCCCCCTCCCCGCGCCCCCCAGGCCTCCCTCACCTTCCCGGGCCTCCCCGGCCGAGCGCGCCCGCCTCCCGGGGCGGCCTCCCGCCATGGCGGCCGCCGCCTCCTCCTTCCAATCGCTGCTCCGCGCCGTTGAAATTGCCCGCCAGAGCCTCGCCGGAAGTGACGTCGGGAGCCGTCCGCCGGAAAAGCGCGAGCGACGACCGCCCGGCGCCATCTTTGGGAGAGAAGGCGGGGCCGGGAAGGGAATCAGTAAGAGAGTGAGAGAAAGAGAAAGAGCGGCCGGCGTGACGCAAGCAAAGCGCGACGTTCCCGGAAGAGACGTGGCAGCGGGCGCTGGAGAGAGGCGGCGGAGACAGGTGGGCCTCGCCCCTCGCCCGTGGACCAGGGAGAGCCAGAGGCGGTTGGGCTGCTCCGGCGACGCTCGGACGCTCCGTTATCGCTGCCTGGGCCGCCCCGGGACGGTTCCCTTGCCAAGGGAGGCAGGTGTAGTATACCACCCCCCCATGGCTGCGGGGCCGGGAGTATGATCGCGTGCCCCCCCGCCCCCGGGTCCTGAAGGGGCGGGGAGCGATAGGCTTTGATGGCCAGAAGGGCTGGGGATCATGGGGCTGGCCTCCGTCATCTGTTGATGGCCGGTTGGAGGGGGTAGAATCAGCCCCTCCCAATTAGACCGAGCTTGCTTCGGAGTTACGGCGGGCGGGCGCGTTTGGATGCCCGTCAGTTATGGAGCTGCCCTGTCAGGTGATGAGGGCTTCGGGGGGGGGGGGGGGGGGGGGGGGGGTCCTTGGTGCCCTCTGAGCTTTTGTGGTTTTTCTGGCAGACGTTTCATGACCCAACTAGGGAATATCATCAGTGTTAGAATGGAAGGGAAGGCGGGGTTATGGAGAGAAGGAGGAAGATCAGTGGAGGAGAATATTTGTGGCTCAGGGTCTGGGCTGGCTTGTTTTCTTGTAGACGTTTCGTGATCCAGTTACGCATCAAGTGCTAGAAGGAGAGAGAGGCGGAGGAGAAGAAAAATAGGAAGAGGGGTGGAGGAAAAGAGGAGGAAGGGAAGGAAGAGGAGGAGGAGAAAAGGACTGCAGGGTCCTTGGCACTTTCTGAGCTTATTTTCTTGTAGACGTTTCATGACCCAACTAGGGAACTTCATCAGTGGTAGAAGGGAGTGGAGTTTATGGAGGAGGAGGAACAGGAAGGGGAAGAGAAGGAGGTGGGATGGAAAAGAAGGAGAAAGTGGGACAGAAGGAGAGGAGAAGGGGAAGGAGAAGTGGAGGAAAGAGGAAGAGCAATGGAGGAGAAGGGGAAAGAGGAAGAAAGAGCGAAGAAGAAAGGGAGGAGAAGGATCGAGAGGTTCTTGGTGCTATCTGAGCCTGCTTGTTTTCTTGCAGACATTTCATGACCCAATTAGGGAACAACATCAGTGCTAGAAGGGAAGGAGGATTGTGGAAACGGGGAGGAAGAGGAGGACTCTGGGGTCCTGGGTGCTCTCCAGGCTTGGTGCTTTTCTTGCAGATGTATACATCCAAACTAGAGCGTTGTTTCTCCACATCGTATAATATATGTGGGTGGATGCTTAATTTTGTATTTATTTTGTCACGTTTATGTAGTATATATTGGAGGTGGAGGCCTTTTGAAGAGCTGTAATGCAACCAAATTTCATTTCAATGTATGCCAATTAGTGTGCTATTCTAATAAAGCTATTCTAAGATATTTCATTACCTGACTAGGCAACAACATCAATGCTAGAAGGGTGTGGAGTTTGCAAGGAGGAGGAGGGGGGAGGCAACTGTGGGATCTTTGGTGTTCTTTCAGCTTGGTGGTTTTCTTGCAGGCGTTTTGTGACCCATCTAGGTAACATCATCAGAGCTAGAAGAGAGAGGAGTTTGCAGGGAGGAGGAGGAGGAGGACTGTGGGATACTTGGTGCTCTCTGAGCTTGGTTCTTTGCTTGCAAATGTTTCATGATCCAACTAGGTTGCATCTTATAGCGCTAGAAGGAAGTGGGGTCTGGGGAGAGGAGAGGGAGGGTGAACACTGTGGGGTCCTTGGCACTTTCCGAGTTTTCTTGCAGACGTTTCATTACCCAACTAAGTAACATCAGTGCTAGAAGGGAGTGGGGTTTGTGGAGGAGGAAAAGCACTGTGGGATCCTTAGTGCTTTCTGGTGGGTGGTTTTTTGGGGGGGTGAGTGGGTTTGCAGATGTTTCATAACCCAAGTAGGGAACATCACCAATGCTAAAAAGAAGTGAAGCAGTAAACGAAGTTTCAATTAAGGGACTACCAGTTCAGGCAAACAAATAATAAACAACAGTCTAGCCTAGGAATCACCAAGAACATTCCCACCAACACTTGCACCTAAATAGAAAGCAAATCCCATTCCCTTCTAGCACGGATGGTATTCCCTAGCTGGGTCATGAAACATCTGCAAGGAAACCAGGAAGCTCTGAGAATAACAAAGACCCCACAGTTCAAGCCTGAGCTGCAGATATTCTCTTCTATTGATCAGGGCTTCTGTCATCCTAGGTAGAGAAAGGTATTTCTCTCTCTGAACTCAATGAGAATATATCTGCTGAATATAACTCCACATTGGCAATAGGAAGGGCATCTGGCCAGTAAACACTCAGCTCCATTCAGTTGCCCAGATTCACACCTCAAGGGATTCTGGGGTCATTAAAAGGAGATGATTTTAAGAATTGATGGTTGAGCTGGTTCTTTCTCTCCCCTTTCTCTTTGTCTTAACTGTCCTTTTCTTTCCATGGTGAGGCTAAATTGCTTTTGCTTTATTATTGCAATCTACCCAGAATCTCACTGCTTGAATTGGGCAGCCATATATTGTTCCTCAATAAATAAATGAACATCACAACTGGTATCTTTTAGGGGCCCGACAAGTGCTGTAAAATGCATAAACAATGCAAGTAGCAAGTCATTGATAGATTCACATACCTGGTGAGGATGGGCTTTTTCTTCCTTGGCTATTTAACAAGATATGGACTTCAACTCCCAGAATCCCCCAGTCAGTTTGCATGTTCACATATCTTCAAATGCCCAAGATTGAGAAACACTGGGATAAACTTTTGTCCGGTGAAGATTTACTTGGTAGCAATTCTATATATGATTATATATGGATATAATATACTTCTGGAAGTGATTATTCTTTATAACCTGTAAGGTAGGCACTCTCATTCCTGCTCATAATATAGGCATTCAACGAGAACAGGTTTCTCTGTGTTCCTAAGTGTCACTTGTTGTCAAGTCTGCCATAGGAAGTGCTTCAGCCTGTTTTGCTTCGCTGGCATCCTGCTATAAAATGCAGAAGGGGGAGGGATGACAGGTACCACAGGTGCCAATCCGGAAGAGACCACTACATCTAAGGACTCAAGCAGGAGACCGGAATGCAAAGCTATACCAAAGAGGTGCCAAACCTCAAAGCGGTTACCGAAACACCAACTTTGAATATCATTTGGAAACTCATGAACGGGTCAAGTGGGCGGAGGGCCCCCAAAATGAGGAAAGGGCAGGTTTTGAGTGGGGATATTCAGATCCGGCTTTGCTTAGACTGTAGCAAGCACTTGGCTTTAGTAAAAGTCTACCTTTCATTACAAATGGAGTCAAGGGTCTTCCTTTCCTAAGTGCCCAAGCTGTGACAAGCCTGACACCTCCTCTTTTTCCTTTTATGTACGCAGCTATGAAAGCACAAAAGCAGGATGTTTGGTAAGGTGTGCAACCTTAGCATACCTAATTTGCATCTTGGCAGAGGTGCAAAAACGTTGCGCTCTCAGTATTGTCCAGTTTGTTGTGATTTTCCGAGGGGACGTCTTGGAACTGCGAATGTGATTGGGGAAGGAAGCACAGATGAGCCATGGCTAAGCCGTGGTTTGAAAAGCCCTCGTGTAGGTAATCCCTCTGTCCATGTGCCCTTTCTCCAGCTCTTCTCGCCACCCTAAGCCACCCTTGTGCCGACTACGATGGGGCTCTGCAAGTGTCCCAAGAGGAAGGTCACCAACCTGTTCTGTTTTGAGCATCGAGTGAACGTTTGCGAGTACTGCATTGTCGCTAACCATGCCAAGGTAAATGGAAACAGCCCAGAGAAGTCAAATGCTTTGAAACAAGAGTCCGGAGAAATCAGAAGGGTCCGGTACGAACAGGGCATGAAACCACGCAGTTAACCAATAGGAAAGAACCTCAGAGGCAGGGGTGGGATTCTACCAGTTTGAGCGATCTGGATATTAAAGTTACAGCTGACTCAACTAGAATCTGATTTATGGCCTCAAATTGTCAAAAACCAGATGCATACTGGTTCTTTTCCTCCGTGTTAGCTCCCGATTGCTACAAATCACCTTAAAAACGGAAATACTTTCCATTCAATGACATAAGCAGGCTCCTCCTCCCCTACCAATTTCCACATGCTACCCTTGGCACCAATTGTTTTACTATTATTATTTTTTTCTGTTTCTTTTTTTTTTTTTTCAGTGCATCGTCCAATCATACCTGCAGTGGCTTCAAGACAGCGATTACAATCCCAACTGCCGGTTGTGTAACGCGCTTCTTTCCAATAAAGAGACGGTTCGGCTTGTGTGTTATGGTCAGTAGAAAATCTCTGGGCATTCTGTCTTCTGTGGCTCCGCCAAACACTCTCTGGGACAGGAGAGACCTTGACTTAAGGACGTCCCAAAGGTGCTTTTTTTTGTCAAGAGGCAACTGGACCTTCAGGTTTTTCTTTGAAGACAAGAAGCTTCTTCAGCTCAGAGCTTGGATGGTGGGGAATGGAAGGATTTATATATCTGGTCATTTTAATTATTTTGCAACGAAGTCCATATTTTGGACAGAGAGGAATGCTGGTTTGAAAGAGGGGTCAAAAATCTATGTCAGAATTGAACAGCCCTCTCTCAACGGGGGGGGGGGGGGGGGGGGGGAGTGAGATACAAAATCATCCACTTCCAGTCTACAACACAGTTCCAAGAAGGCTCCACACCCATTTGCACCACTCAGATGACCCTGAGGACATAAACCTCCAAGTGGCCTCAATGACTCTCTAAAAAAGGATGCAAATGGCCAGCTGCCTGCAAGGAATATAAATCCTTCCATTCCCCTCCAGTCAG